TTTTATTCCAAAATGTAGAGGAGATCTTCAGCTTTCGAATGATATATAACACTCATATACATCTGTTCGATATTTACATAGAGAAATTTAGAAAATAGTAAAAACGCGCATTCATAACTGGACAACCCAATACTTTATTGATTTAAACTTACTGCAGTGCTGTGTGACTCTCAATCTTGCTTTTATCAAGAATAAACATTTTAAAGGGTTCTCGTAGATTGAAATAAAGAATATTTGATAATCCATTTCTTGCAATCACCAATGAGATCCCTCTATAATATTCCCTGATTCCATAGTATTTGAAAATTTTAACAGCAGCATCACCTAGAAAACTTGAAAATAGAGCTAAAGAAAGGTGATAACAAACCAGAATTTTTAAACTCTTTATGATATTTGTCGGCTTGTAGAAGAACTTGAATTCTTTCTAGAGGAGCTAATGAAGCCTCACAAGCGCCAGCTAAACTGGAATTTGAGATAACAACTCAATGCAAACTTGCCTAAAAATGCAGCTTTCGCTCGTTCAACGGTAAACAAAGAAGAGCCTCTAGTGTATTTTGCGCCTCCAAAGTGTGTCTGAAAGATTGTATGACATTGGCTGACATTGGCTGACATTGACTTTGATCGATTTACCAAGAAATTGTCGTAAAGTCCAAACATGACAGCTCTTGATGTGGTTCGCATGAGGAGTGGAGGGAGAAGACCTCGATACAACAAAGAAATGCCCTCGGCACGGATCTAGAAGTTGAAGTTAGGAAGATCAGTTCGTTATTAGCTGTTATTGGATGTCTGGAGCTTCTATTCACATTTGTAGCTTCTATTCACAAAGCAAACCAGCATACTGATGCTTGTTCTAAAGCTTAAGCATCACGTAAATTTTATAGTTGGTTAAGCTGTGTGGATAAGCTTTTTATCTATTTTCTCAGCTCTACTTGTTTCACTACCTCTCGAATCGCTCCCAGCACATTGTACCCGTGAACTTGTTGCCGAAAAGAGACTTTCGTTGCCGGATAAACGATGCAAGTCTCAATGCAACCAGCTCCCCAACCACAACCGAACTCGAGAGCATGGTAACGTCTCTCATCTGGAAATCATACAATTTGACTTTTAAAAACTATTAGCAATCTTATCAGCCTTGATATAGAGTTTTCAATATTTCTGAGGACTAGATTACTAGGTTTAGAGCTTATTTTGTACAAGTTTAATGTTAAAAGGAAACACACTTATCAATGGCGAATTGATAGGTTTCCTAAGTTGTTAAGTTGATTTATTGATAAGTTTCCTAAGTTAATAAGTTTGACATTGATAAGTTTGATTGATAAGTTTGATATTGATTGATTGATATTGATTGATAAGTTGATAAGTATTGATAAGTTTCTTAAGTTACTCCTTTTTAACTTTTAAACTTGTACAAAATGAGCTCTAAACCTTAGTAATCTATTGGTCGTTAAAACAACGTTAAAAACTTTAAATACCCATAAATATTGAACACTCTGTATTTTTAAACCGTTGCTTTAAACAAATCAATTGCGCATAACAAATCTAAATGTAACAAACTCGAAAATTCTCACCATTAGCTTTTTGGGTGTTCATTCATTGAGAATTTCAGCATTTGCTATGCGCTTAAAATGTCCTTTTTTGACTAGATAACAACATGTTATTGGGTGCAGAAAATGGAGAGAGTCGGTTGGAAAAGAACGGGCATACGGTAAATGAAGCAACTCTTTGCCGTTCTCTCAGAAAACAAAAAATCCGAATCTCGAGCAGAATGCAGTTAAGCCAAAAAATTGGAAGAAAATAAGCAACCCTTGTGGCTCTGAAAAAGAGCACCGGAAAGAAAATCGAAGATTAAACTGTAAATTTTGATCTTGAATCTTGAACAAGTAAGCTAGGTAGTAAGCTAGGTAGTAAGGCTGTGGCTACAAAATACAAAGCCAATGTTCAACACGGTTTATTTACAAAATTTTCATCAAAATCTAACAGATTCAATAGAACAAAGTTCATTGTTTAAAGCTTTTATATCAACTTGTTCCCGTAGAAAATAAATAGAAAGGAGTTGACTTAAAAAAGCACGTTTTTTCGGAGCACGATCCTCATTTAATAAGTTTGCTGAAAAATTACAATATTATTGTTAAAAACAAGCAACGGTACTTATTGGTTATCTCCCTCTCACTCAAAAATTTGCATTTATCAAATTGCATTTATCAAATTGCATTGATCAAATTGCATTTATCAAATTGCATTGATCAAATTGCATTGATCAAATTGCATTGATCAAATTGCATTGATCAAATTGCATTGATCAAATTGCATTTATCAAATTGCATTTATCAAATTGCATTGATCAATTTGCATTGATCAAATGGCATTGATCATTTTACATTGATCAATTTGCATATAACATTCTGATTTTCGGAGTGGAGCTCCCATCTCTTCATAGCATTATTAAGCAATAAAATTTGCATAAAAATTAAAACATTTTCTATAGGTTCTAGATCTAAAACAATCTAAACAGGCAATACGAAACCAGAAATGAAATTAGCATATGCGCGAAATTAGCATTTAACTGCACCACGAAGCGCACCGGAGCATTGGGTACATTTCGAGTGTCTTCCCCCTCTGCCCCCTGAGTACCCCCCTTGCCAGAGGCATTTTGCGTTTTTCTCAACGCAAAATTTATCAATTGGCCTGTTTTTGGTTTCATTCGATGCGTCTAACTTTCCTCTATCCAATGAAACCAAAAACAGCCTAATTGATAAATTGTACGTTGAGAAAAACGCGAAATGCCTCTGACAAGGAGGGGGGCACTTAGGGGTTACTCAGGGGACAGAGGGGGGACACTCGAAATGTATAATTGGTGGGGAGGTGGATGGGAAAAATTTCAGTCCGCTAAATGGTGGGTTTCTTTTTTTTGGGAGCGGGGAAGATAACCAATAAGTACCCAATCAACTAACCAAGTTGTTCTTCAGCGTAACTCAAATATGTTGATATTATTCGATGAATTTCCTCAAAAGTCAGCACCGCAAAAGAATCGAAATCATAATTTCTCAAGGATAACTTTTCAAACATAACACAACCAAGTTTTAAATTTAAACATAAACATCTCTCTTCATTGTCAGCTTCTTTTGGAATCTCCAATGGAATCAAAAGATCGCGAAGATGTTTTTCTTCATTATTTGCTGCTCGATGAAACAAAAAATAGTTAGGGCATTTGTATTTTTTCGAGAAAAATCTCTTGATCTCTTCATCTTTTTCCTGTCCTTTTCGAGATTGATCAAAGAGATTTAATGGCCTAAATCGTTCATCTTTTGACCCAAAATAATGATCAAAGATTTTATAGATTGTGCCATGCAATAATTCGTAGTCTTTCAGGCTTTCTTGGTCTAAAGTCGACTGCCAGCACCAAACTTTCGAATTCGGTGAATAGAACCAATCAAAAATGTAATTTTCAAAGTTATACTTATACTTTCGAGAGTGATTTCGCACTTTTTTCCCCAAAATTGAGGTGCTCATGCCACGAAAAGTGGATTTGTTTGGATCTTCTTGCATTGAATTCGTTGTTATGTATGGATGTTCCATAAACGAGTTCAAAGCATTCAACAAAATCGTCCAATCAATCACCAATCCTTCGCTTTCATTAGGACAATGTTTCCTCAAAATCCTTTGAAACGTTTCATCTTTCTCCCGTCTTTTATAAGTAATCCCTAACTTTTGTAAACCCGATGGATGTGCTTTTAAACTTTCCAATTTCTCAATACTTTGATGAAAATCTCGACCTGATTGCTTAGCTATTTCATCAAATTTTTGCTCTTTATGTTTCCATAATAAACACAAAGCTTCATCATAGATTAAATAAATCATTTGAAAATCTTGGAGAAATTGTTGTCGCCAAGAGCAAAGATTTTGTATGATCGATTTTCCACAAATAGGTTCAAATTTGGATAAGACAAATAGCTCAATGAGGCTTTGATTGAAAAATTCCGGAATTTCTGGTGGTTTTGAAAGTTGATTAAATGAGAAATCACAATTCTTGAAAATATCCTCAAACTCTGCTTTTCGTTTTTCAAGATTATTAAGTAAAGTTGATTGATTTGGGTTATTCGTTAGCAATGGTAAGATCACTTCAAAAGCTTTTCTCGAAATCTCTTCAGAGAAATAGCTACTTGTCTTTTTGATTTCCTCAATTTCTTTCAAATACATTTGCTCAGGTAAATTTTCGATAATAACTTGGTCAATAATTGTATTTAATTGACTGTTTGTCGATGAATCATCAATAATTCCGATTGTCGAGGTGCTTTGCTTTACATTGAATTGCTCAAAAGCGATTGGTTTTACCAAAGTATCATTGTCAATTTCGATTATAGGTTCAAATTCGATATTTGAATAAGCCTAAAAGGGATTTTATTAAGTCTAATAAACAAAGAAACATTGATAAACAAACCCTCCGAATTCCAACCATCACTTTATGAACATCATTCACCTTTGGTCTTTGGTTGTGTTCTATTCGAGTACAGCTAAATATTATTTTCTTGGGATTTTAAAATACTTACCGAGAAATGAGATCCACTACTTCAAAAGGAGCATCTAAACATTCGAGTTTATTGATGCCACGCATGAGATTTTGAAGAACGGTATATTCTGAGAGTTCTGTGAAAACTTTTCTGAAAAAGAAAAGTTTTTGATAAGCTAGAAAAATACGTACTATAATACTAAAGTAATACTAATTAGATCATTCTTTTAAAAAGTACAAAAGAGTAAATGTTCAAGTTCAAATGTTTCAACCAGAGCTGGTTCTAGGACTACAGTCCCAGGCCAGACCAGGATCAGACGACTTGAATGGATTTCCAGGCTTTATGGTCTAGCCTTGACGTTGGCAAGTTTTTAGGCCAGCTAGGGTCAATCACCAGATTCCAAAAAGTTTTTGAAGATTTGTTTCTACCTTCTTTCTAGAATTTCCCACATGATTAGCCCGGATGCGTAGAGATCGCTTTTGCAAGTCACCTGAAATCAAATAACTAAAGAAACTATGAATTGCAATAAATTAAGGGAAAATCTCTGATTTTCTAGTAATTTAGTTGCAAATTAGTTAAATAAATAAAGAGATCGCTTTTGCAAGTCACCTGAAATCAAATTTGCAATAAAGAAACTAAGAATTGCAATAAATTAAGTGAAAATCTCTGATTTTCTAGTAATTTAGTTGCAAATTAGTTAAATAAACCTTTCTCTTCCCGGTCGCCATTCCAAATCCAGCACATTCGGGACTCATATATCGAAGAGTGCCATCTTTACTCAACTCTTTTGTGTCATTTTCTCTCCGAACACATCCAAAATCCCCAATTTTCAAAATCCAATCTCGAGTCACCAGAACACTGAGATTAGATTAGAATCAATTAAATAATTTACTGATCTTACTTTTCTGGTTTCAAATCTCGATGAATGATTCCATGATTTTCAAGACAGACCAAACCAGCTAAAAGATGTTCCGCCCAACAAGAAAATGTTTTCATCGAGTAAATGATCTTTCGATTATTGATGACTAAAGAAAATGGGTTTTTTAACGGTCCACCGATGGGCTGAACTAATGACGATAATTTTTTGGTGTCGACTCGATTACCCCAGAAAAATTAAAATCTCGAAAAATGTGCTCCCCCAAGTTTATTAGTACCGACTTTTGTTATTTATTTCGCAGAATGTACGATAACTTTGTACTAGTTTTCAAGAGGAGCTTTAGGGCTATCGAATGAGTATAATAGTTTAGTTTATCTTTTGAATCTTCACCAAGCTATCAGTAAAAGAGTTAACGACTACGAAATGCCAAATTTGTTAACAAGATTATGTTATTTATGTTTTTATTATTTTAACAAGTATATTTTACCTTGTCTGAGTGACCCTCTAACACAAAATTCCATTTTAATCACATGATATGGCTTTCCGCAAAAGTCTTCTTCACTTAGCTCATAGACTTGAACAATGTTTGGATGAGAGAGAAGCTTTAGCGCTTCCCATTCTCGTTGAAATGTCTGCTCAATTTTCGGATCGCTTGACTTGAGAATATATTTGGATGCTGTTACGCTAAATGAGTCTGTAAATAGTTTGTATTAGGTTGGCAAGTTATAAACGATTCGTTTTTGGGTAATGTGTTTTCTGAAAAAACAGCTTATCCAATCAAAAAACGGTTTGCTTGATTGAAAAGCCCTATCCTTAATCTACAAAATGGCTTTTTTGAATTTTTGAAACATGTTTTATTTTAATGTAAGGCATTTTAATGTAAGATTTCAAAATCCTGGTTTCTAGCATTCATGAGCTAATATATTTTTGAGTGATTGCATACTTTTTAAAATAAAACATCGATTACATAGCTTCCCAAAATTACAGAACAATCCAATCGATCGAACCGTTCTCTTTCTTTTAATCTTTTTTTTTTAATCTTGCTTAAATTCAAACGAAAATGGATTAAATTAGCACAAAAGTGCATTTTAAGCCTAATTTAAAAATCAACCTTCCGAAGATTGGATTGTTCTCAAATTTTGGGAAACTATTTAATCGATGAAGCGTTTTTATTTTAAAACTATGCAGTCACTCAAAAATATATTAGCTCATGAATGCTAGAAACCAGGATTTTGAAATCTTACATTAAAATGCCTTACATTAAAATAAAACATGTTTCAAAAATTCAAAAAAAGCCATTTTGTAGATTAAGGATAGGGCTTTTGAATCAAGCAAACCGTTTTTTGATTGGATAAGCTGTTTTTTCAGAAAACACATTACCCAAAAACGAATCGTTTATAACTTGCCAACCTAATAAAAGAAAATGAAACAAAACTTACGGATGGAAATCCGTTTCCAGAAACACTATCCCAAATGTCCCTCTTCCGATTTCGATTTTTGAACTCATTATGGCAAAAATCAATGAACAGAATTTCAGAATTTGTTTAGCTCAAAGTAATCTCAGAATTGCGCATTCAATTTCAAGATTAGTTCGCATTAAAAGCAAAATTTCTTTTTGGAAATTTTTCAAGCTGCCGAGAAAAACGATTGAAAATTGATTCGACTTTTGTGTCGCCGCGCTTATCACCGGGAAATTTTATCCGAATAGGCACTCAAAATGAAAACTTCGGGAATTTGGAGGCAAGAAAAATGTCTTTTATTTAATGCTTTTTCAAGCTGAAAGTTCTCAAGTCTTGCTTGCAAGAAAATAGAAAAGTTGGTGACATTGCGGTGAACTTTTGAGCTTGTACCTCTTCATTTTCCTTCAAGTTAGAAGCAATTTCAAAAACCATGGCAAGATTACCTGTTTGTTTGAGTGTTATTCGTCAATAAAACTCTTATAATTCTTTTTCTATAAACTCTTAATTATCCTCGAAAAAAGTAGTCAAACTTTTCTAATCTTAATGTTTTTTCTCGAATTTTTCAGAAACTAAAAAAGCGCTGAAAAGGGGAAAAATGAAGCTCCGCGCTAGGATCGAATTTTCCCGATACTTTGTGATTTGATAGAAAAGCTGGTCAACGAATTTTTCTTTTCATTACTTTTCCCAATAGATTAAGAAATGAATAACTTTATACTATGGAGAAAATTCTGCGGTTAAGTTGGCTGGCTTTAACGTTACAACGAAGCACTCTTGTCCGGTTAATTTTGCCCAATCTTGTGTAAGTATGAACAAATTCGTCATTTTCTTGAAATAAAAATCGAGAGCTAATGACCCTGAGCAGGAAAATCGGAGATATGCTATCAATCAAGAAGACTTTTTCAAGGTTCTTTCAAATGAGCTAACTAGAAGATTTGAGATATTCAATAAGCGAACATGCTTTGGAGAATTTGATTGTCGTGACGATCTCGTGATCGAGATCGCCACGTATGGAAATGGCCAGATAGACACCTATGTGGACGAACGCCTATTGTGTGAGATTTAATATGCGTCGCTATCCGTTCAACTCCATTGTGTGGAAGACGAGACGAACGCCCGAGTTCCATATAAAAGCAATGTGAACGAGCTGCCGACGTGTGCCGTGGAGTCTCTACTCGCCCAATACCAAACCACTGAACCAACTATTATTGCTGTAATAAAGATTATATCTAAACCAACAATAATCACTACATTGATAGTACTCGAAGAAGCATTTAGTTATTTAGTTATGAAAGGCTTGAGGCTGAATGATATAAAAGATCGGCAAGATGGGGGAAATATCAGATTTTCGAACAGCTCCTTGATACTTTTACTTTGTCATAATGACTCTAGAATCTAGAGTCTAGATGAAATCTGAACGAAATGAAGTCGTTAATTGTTTTTATTTACTTTATTAAAATAAATATTTCAATTAATAGTGCATTTTGCATAAAGCATTGCCTTCTACACTTAGCATCATTACGAAAGGCAGAAAATGACCGGTTTCAAATCTCAAAATCAAATCCTAATCAAATCTTTTGCTGATCATAAACACTTTTGAGTAAAGAAAAATTTTGAATCAATTGATTAAATTAAATATTAAAGATTTTGTAAAATTTTAAGCGTTTATTTAATTATCAAGATGCCAATCGAGTTCATATGGTTGAATTTTCATGTCTCCATTTGTATCGATTTGCTCAAACCTAAAATAGGTATTTGTTTTTGTTGAATGAATATAATAAACCAAGATGGATGCTTTTCATAGAGCAACTCAAGCAATCCAACGGTTTCATTGAGAAATTGGTGTGCCTCTTCTATCGTTATGTATCCGTCAGCGTTCTCATCCATTCCGCTGAAGCGTTTGATAGCGGTGTGACGGCGCTGGCTATCTAAAAATCGAAGCTGTATAAGGCAATTCTTCAATTGGATTCATTTTAATAGAAATATTATGAAGCTAAAATACAAAGAGCTTGACTTACAAGCGTTTGTTGTTTGGTAGACTTCTCTCTTTCCTCTTAAAGCGCCAAGTATCTTTGCAGAGTTGTCGATTATGCTGTCCACTGAGCTTTTGTTGAACTTGAAAAGAAAGTAAAAGTTTACCATCTGTATGACAATTTTGATTGCAACCTCCATCACAATTACAACAAAAGATGTTACAACGGCCGTTTCCACAGCACTAAATAAGGATTGGAGTTTGGAATTGGAATATTTCGATTGGCTTTTTGATTATAACCAATTGGAATAAAATGATTAAAGGATTGAATTTCTTACTTCTCCAATCTTGTAATGATCACAGCAAGCCTCAGCCAAAGCTAATAGAACAAATATGATATTGAAAGCGAAAAGGCACTTCATTTTTGAAAGAATACAAGAATAGATTTGTTAGTTTTGGGATAATCTATGAGTAAAATAGCTTTCTTTTATATTGGATTAAAACATCATCATTTTATCATCTTTCTACAGAACTTCGTGTTCGGTGAGACACTGGTTTTAATAAAAAGTTTACTTTTTCCGGTTTTTAAATCACTGACTCATATTCGAATAGTTGAAATTTTTAATTTCATAGTCTTTTTTTTTGATGAACTCATCTTTTAGCCTTTTTTTTATGAGAACCATTGGCCTACGAGAGTTCAAAAAGACAGGCTAACTGACGAGTGTTCACACGGAGCGACTCTTGTCTTACGATAGAAAGAGCACCTTTTCACGAAACCCATGAAACTAGGAAAGCCAGAAAAACACAAGTGTACTCTTCACAAAATGATAGATGAAAAGGTGCATGAACAATTTTTGTACATTGTACGTGTACGTAACTGGACGCACAATTGTTCGCACATCTGCTCGAAGAATCGGTCTGGAGGTTAGTTGCGACTGATCATTTAACTTAAACAGATAATTTAACTTAGTTTCTTAACTGTTTTGTGATTTTGCTTATAAAGATTTTAGTTATTGGTACTATGGGCTTTGGGGAGCACTTTTTTTCACCAAAACCATTTTTCCTGGGGTAATTGATGATGCTAATCACGAAAAAGTTATTTTTAAGGCAAGTTAGTAATGGAAAAGTGTCCGTTTTTAAAACTCAAGTTGCTATAGTAGTTGGGACGAAATTTTTTTCGCCAAATGAGCTGATTCTTTGGACCTAGGTGTTTTTGTCTATGCTGAATCGATTGGTGATGGTTTCACACAACATTTCTTAACTTTTAGCAACATTCCAGGCTCCTAACAACACCTAGGCTTTGGCTTCGCACCTTAGAGGCACGTGGCTCATAGGCTATCGCCTGATTCTCCTACGGCTGACGTGAGTTTAGACGATAGCCTAGGAGCCACGTGCCTCTAAGGTGCGGAGGCAAAGCCAAGGTAAATCTAGGAGCCTATAATATTATAGTCAAACCTCTACAGCACCTGGAGTTTTAAAAACGGACATTTTTTCATTAATAACTTGCCTGAAAAACAATTTTTTCGTGATTAGCATCAACAATTACCCCAGGAAAAATCGTTTTGGTGAAAAAAAGTGCCCCCCAAAGCCCATAGTACCTAATTATTTTTCCGATTTAGTTCGACTTCTCTTCACAATACGAAACTGACAATAAGGAAATCGACAATGAAGAGGTATTTATTTTTAACAGTATTAACAATAAGATCAATCCTAGTTTTAACTTCAATTGTTCTATTGTTTCTAAAATTATCTAAACTAGATCTAGCTTAACTAATAGTATTTAATTATGTTAAGATGTTTATTTTTAGAGAAGAGCTTTCTGATGTTGAAATGGAGGAAGAGAGCAACTCCTTGGACGAGCTAGGAGCATCAACACCGATAGCCAAAGGTGTGTGTTTACAGAAATTTTAAACTGATAAATTTAAAAATAAAATTCTAAAGTTAGTAACTGACAAGTAACCATTTAGATTCCAATTTTGGAGCCATCGCCGCTGATTTGAAAGAAGTTTCCACCGAAATCATAGATCCGCGCTTCTACTCATTGACGAAGCATATCGACAAACGGGTTATTCTAGGAATGGGGTTAGTATTTTAAGATTTTATATTAAGAACATTTATATTGAAATGTTACACCTAACTTTAAACATTTAGAACTCCACCTCAAGCGCTGCAAAGTGTGCCACAGATGAATTTCTTCGCCCTCAAAGCTGGCATGGAATTCAGCTTCTACATCGAGCACACTGAAGAAACAAGCAACAATTTGACGTTAGACAACCTGGGTTCGTTATTGAACTATTTGGATTATACATTTTTGAATAGTATAAATAGCTGTAGTGTTTTAAACTTGAGTTTACAGGAAAATGGAATAAACGAGGCGCTCCATCGGTTGTCAATCGCTATTACTACGATCAAAAGTTCAGAAATGTGAAAAAGGATCAACTCTACCAATATGAGATTCTCTGTTATTCGAGCAAGAATCATTCGGCGGAGCCGATCGGATCAATATCGAGGAAAATTTGGAAAGGATTTGACTACGATTTCAAGCCGATTGGAACAGCCATCATTTCGTATTCTGTTGGACACGGCTAGTTTTGATTTAAATTGTTTATGGAGTGGCAGAAGGCTTTGAAAAATATATTCTTTTTTTTTAGATTTTCAAGAATTCCATCCAGAGATTCAAGGCAATACCCGGCACTCAGAGCGCTCTTTGCAGCGGCGAGAGAATCCACCGATGTTGAGGAATGTGTCCACCCCATCCACAGCTTCTCAAGGAATCAGAAGTAAGGAAATAAAGTTTAGACACCTAATTATAGTTTGGAAATTTAAACATAATAAATGTTTATTTTCCAGAACCCGTTCCACGTCTCATCGATGGTCCCTCGTTGAAAACCCTTCCACTTGGCAATGGAGAAGCTGCAAGGAAACGGTTGGTTTTTTTTGATCAAGAATATTCTGATTATATATTAGATTGGAAACTTGAAAGTTGATACACTTTTTCGTATTTACCATAAAATATATTTAATATGCTAATTGAATTGGACTTCTTCAAATAAAAGCTATTTATTATGTAGTTTAAGGCACGCTTAAGCAAATTTGGGTAACATTTGAAACGAATTTGAGGAGAAATTCAAGTTTTTCTGAAAATTCTTTAAATGAAACTATAACAAAAACGACTCGTTCAATCTAGTTTAAAATTTGGTTATTTATCTAACTTATTATGCTCTCTCTTTTTTTTATTGACACTAAAATAGGTTTGTGTGGAAGAAAGTGTTCAAATCGCTTCATCGAGTGATCATCATTTTTTGGTTCCTCAACTTCTTGCCCCCTAAAAACCTAATAAATCGAAGCTTTTCTAAATCCGTTAAAAGCCTGTTTTAGAGAATAAATAGGCCTTTTTATTAGTAAACACTGTAGATTGATGTACTAGTTATTTCTAAGTGCAATGAATAAGTGTACCAAATTTCAAGTTGCCAATCTAATAGTTGCAATTACAAGTCTACTATAAATTTTTTGTGTTCTTTAGAAAACTGGATCAAATGCTGAGCCCGTCCGATGTCCTGGAGCAGCTATTCAAGCCAGCAGAGACAACACAAACGGAGAAATTGTTTCAAGGTACAAAATAAGAATAGTTAATTCTGCTTATAGATTAATATCAGCAGTTTATTTAGGCCATACTTTTGCCGATTATTCGGATGAAGAACCGTCAAATGGCTTTGATGAAGAGGAGAGTGAAGAGTCGCCTTTTGCGCCGAAGCAGGAGGGTGAGTAGCTTCAAGAATAGCTTGCTGATAGTTGATTAGTAGTTAGATCATTAACTGTTTTAAATTTTAGCTCTTGATGGCCTTGATGCGAGTGACACAGTGGAGATGGTTTCGAGCGACATTGTTGACTTTGATTTCTACGGATCGCTGAAAGATGTTCCCACGGAGATCCTCATCGGCAAGAAGTTAGTTTTGTAAATTGGAATTATTAAATTTTATTTTAAACTCCAAGAAATGCTACTTCTTTAAAATATCTAAAATATGTATGTAGCCATGATAAAAGTAAAATAATTTTTAACTATTATTTCCAGAAAACCGCCACAATGCCTCAGCAAAGTGCCAAATTTGCGAACGAGTGCTTTAAAGCCCAATATGAGCTTCAGCTTCTACATCGAGCACAATAAAGAAACAACGGGAATTTTGACATATGATAATCTTGGTAAGAAATATAATATTATAGGTTGTAGTTGATTTACAAATAAACAACAATCTTTAGGCTATTGGAGCCGTCGCCACTTCCCATCTTTGATGAACCGCTTCTACTTTGACGACAACTTCAAGAAAATGAGTCGAGAGAAAATTGGAAAAGATGGAAAAAGCTTCAAATATGATATTCAAGTGTACATCAGCCAAAATCACTCACATTTCCCGGTTGGATCGTTGAAGAGACGAATCTGGAAATGTTTTGACAGTGATGGGGTGCCGATTGGAACGGCTATCGTCTCGTATAGCACAAATGAAGGTTAGTTGAAATTTTGTTTTTGGATATTGAACGATGTTGTGGCTTTATATTCATTAACTTTAATCAAGTCATTCTTCAAAAACTATGAAGCTTTTAGACTTTCAATCAAACGGTGAAATGATGCAAAGAAACGGCAAGTTCGACTTGGTCACGGCTGGAAACGAAAAGCCCAGTTCTTCATTTGCTGGTTTGTTTAGCTAAAGTTAAAAAAGAAATATAAATGGTTATCAAAAGTTAAAGGAAGTTTTTTCTAGGAAGTCCAGACACGAGAATGTTCCCCGCACTAATGGATTCGAAAAGCATTGGGCAAGCCGCCAAAACTGACCGACTTCAATTCTAGTAAGTCTCAGTTTTGAAAAAGTAATCGATTATTTCCAGCTGTTGGTTATGTCCCCTGACAAAAGCCGGAAAAGTGGGATACGACTTTAAGGAATCTCTCCAAATGCACTTTCATCGACACCACAGCAAAGAAGAGTTTAAAGAAGGGATTGACAAATTGCTTGACAAGCCGACTACTTCAAGAACAACACCATCTAGGAACAAGGTGCGTTTTCCTTGAAAAACAAGGCTTTACTACTTTACTTTACTAAAAAAACAAGAAAGGCTTTACTGGTTCTATTACCCAACCCCACAAGTGCGTCAGAAGGCGCAATCGGCCTCAAAACCCAATTATTGTTTTTAGAGAACTGTTCGACCATCACAAGCTTCACTTCTAAAACTACAACCAGTTGATCGCCAGGCGGAGAGTTCGATGAAGATTTTGAAATCCTCGACGTTCAGATCACTCCCATATCAACCCCAATCCTCCACAAGCACGCTTCGTAATCAACTAAAGTTCAAGCTAAGCAAGGTAAAACATTCAATAGTCTTTTAAACTTCCTGAACTAAGACAATAATTTCTCAACAATCTACCAAATTTAGCTTTACCCGAAGATTCACCAAACGGCCACTTTTCTGATGAATACTGATTTGAATCAAGCCGCTAATTACATAGCAGGTATAAAAATTACCAAGAATTGAATCGTTGGTTTTAGGTCTTGAAATGATGGCAAATTTGGATGAAGGAGAAAGCTCAACAACTGGAGGACAATTTGCAAAGAATGAGGATCTTTTCGATATGGGGATTCTGGTAAAAAGATGAAGAAAGCTTATTTTAAAGACAAGTTTTAGGGAATGAAGCAGGATACGAGTTCCGAAAATGATGATAGGCAAGGTCTCTTCAGGAGGTTGGTATCAAGTCTGAAAATTAAATCTAACACTCAAACCAAAAGCAAAGTTATGAAATTTTCTGATATTCTGAACTTGTTGAGTGTTGAGCTTTACCATTTTTACAGACGATGAACAAATTGTTAGATTTAGAGAAGATTTTGATAAAATGTTCGTACTTCTTCATGGCAAAGTCAACCAAAGGTTAACACACAGCCCATTTCAGCTGCTCAATCTGCCTACAAACGCTGCCTGACGATTTGACTGTGCCAGTGGAGTGGCTGAAATGTGAAGAATGTCATGGATGGACTCATAAATCCTGTCGAGAAGCTGATCTCCCATGTCCTTCTTGTCTTCGAGGACTCTTGAAAGCGGAAACTTCAAATGAGGATCAGAATTTTGTACAAGTGAAGGATGAAATCGATAACTAAAAGCTATTTAAAGTTTATCAAAAAGTGAAATCGTTGATATTATCTGAATTGTGTTATTATAAATTGTCAATGAAAAATCGGTGACTGGCAACATTTGTGTTTTTATTGCATTTTGTTGAAATTCGTCCTATAAACTTTATTCATAATCAAAGCTTTAATGGCAGAATAAATTTGTTTTTATAAATTATAAATTTGTTCAAATTTTCTTCAAAAATTGTTTCAATCAAGCGTCAATAGGTCAAAACCACTGTGCTGCTCTTTGTCGCTTTGTGCGTTTTCTTGATCAACTCCACTTTTCCAGTGAATTGTTGAGCTCTGAAATTGGTTTTTGGTTTAATATTTTAAAGTTTTGATGAATAAAATGAATGTAGAATTCTTATCCTGAACAAATAAAGAAAAGAAAAGAAACCTTAATGGTGGTAATCTTCTTGGCATCACTTTGTCAGCAATCGTAAAAGGCGGATCATCGAAATCTTCACTCTTTGGTTTAGTTTCTAAATTTTTCAAATGAAAACAATTTAAAACAAACAATTCAGGTGAAATTTATTTTCAGATTTTTAAACATTCACTCATTTAATGACTTTCTGTAGTACTATAATTTATAATCATTCGAAAATTTAGTTGGTCAAAAATTAGAGAGCTTTTTCTGTATAACTTGGCCACCTGGGATTGAGGCAAATGACTACAAATAAATAAAAAAAAGGTTCATGATTTATTTGAAAGCTTTTTCTTGGCATCAAAACAAAGCACGGGGGATGGAGATGGAGATGCCTAGAAAGCCTAGAAAGCCTAGAATGCCTAGAAAGCCTAGACTGCCTAGAAAAAGCACGGGTTTTAAACTCAGTTACAATAAAACTAATCTAATCTATTCAATTCTAATCTGTGCAAAATCTCAGGTCCAAAGACGATTTAAAAGTATAAACACTGAATTTTTTAAAATTTGAATAGATCTCTACCATTAAAGATGCTCATTTTTCGATCAGATCTCAAGTTTCGATTGTGATCCGAGGGATGTGTGTTGTCATTTTTACACTCGCATGGTTGAACACTTAAAGACGAGCGTTTCTGAAATGCAAACTTTGCAAAATTGATGACAGTCTTGGTTTTGTTTTTACGAAAGATATTGGGAATCACTACTTTACGACAAATTGCCAACTTTCTTCTCAGTGAGCTAATCTTTATGATTTTAATGTCATTTTGTTGCACTTCTTAAGATCTACAAAATGACATTAAAAACATAAAGATTAAACTAGAAAAAAGTTATAATAAGTTGGAAAAATTTGGCGTAAAGTTTCCGCGATATTAAATTGCTGCTGATTCTCTTTCTAATAGGCCAATTCGAAACCAGACTTTGAGTGCATGTTCAATGAGTTTTTCCAGAGTACCGTATTCTCTCTAATAGTAGTTCACCCTGAGCGTTGCCTAAATTGCTCGAAATCTCGAGAACCGCTTATCAGAACCCATTGATGTGGGGTCGGAAAATGTAGCTGACGATGAGATCTAGTGGGGGATTTGAGTTTTGAGCTCCTGCAAAAGCTTGGCAACCGTAAAATCACCAACTCGGCGAGGTGCACTACTATTAGAGAGAATACGGTATTCTACCTCGTTTGGCAATAAGTTGTGCTTTTTTTCGCCTTATAAAGCCTTGTATTTTGTGACTTACCTTTCTCGAGGCAAAGAATCCTCTCCTCGATGTGCAAGAACTGAATGAAGAAAAACAATTAGATGTAGACGGTAGAGTTGGCATATTATTTTGTATCCATCTTGCAGGTGCTTTCATTGATGAGGTCAATCCTTTCAATGAAGTCGAGGGAAAGCCGGGGAATTTCATCGTTTTCTAAAAATAGCTGAATAGTTCATTTCGGGAAAGGACAATAAGAAATCAAAGTAAAATTCAACTGTAAGACTCGTAGACAAAATAAAATAATCTCATTTGGCAGTTGAATTTCTCCGAAAACAAATAGGTGTGTCAACAAAAATGGTGAAGTTTTGAGAAACAGCGAAAAACAAATTTGGGCCTCGAAACAAAAACGAAATTTTTCTCGAAAGAATTCTTCAATTAAGAGAAATTATCTCGAGAACAAGTTGTGCTTTTTTGCTAATTTTTCGGTGAAATCTTATCGATTATGTAGAACAAATTGAATCACTGAACGTTTTGATACTGCGGGGGGGTGGCTCTTTTGCGCCAAAGTTTTTTCCGCAACAGGGTTATTTGCGCAACAGGTTCGTTTGCGCAACTCGCCATAACTTTCTTCTAAGTCAGTCAATCTTTATGAATTTGGTTTCATTTTGTTGCCCTTATTGAGATCTACAAAATGACACCAAAATCATAAAGATTGGCTTACTTAGAAGAAAGATATGGCGAGTTGCGCAAACGAACCTGTTGCACAAAAAAATTTGGCGCAAAGTAGCCATCCCCGATACTGCGTTTGCTGAATCTACTATATACAAAGAAAATAAAATTCTTTCCGTCCGTTTGTCACGCCTACGCGACAATACAAATTACGTAACGTAAAATTACAACGAAGTGAGTTAGAAAGCTGAAAATTTGTACTCGAGGGTTTTCGGGGGCGAGGAATCTGAATCTGCAATCAGATTTGTGCTACGTGCCCTCAGTACCTCTAGGTAGAATATCCGCGCGGCTGCGTAGCTGATATCCTTAGAATTAATGGAAGATTTTATTAAGAGTTGAGCTGATGAATTAGTTTCTACAAGACTGATAACCAAGCTTTAAAAGCCAGAGAAAAACTTTTCCTGGTTCAGAAATAAGATAAAAAATTTTGAGAAAAACAACTTTGACTTTTCGTCCAAGTCAAGGAAATTTATGGGTTTCCCCCACCAAAATGGGCAGGTGAAAGAAATGGAAAAATCACAAAAAGAAGCTTTTGACCCTAATTGGTGGTTGCAAAAGGGATCTAAAAAAAGTATTTGTAAGTTTATGATGTTATGGAGACATCTGCACACTCAAAGACAAATGGAATATACGAAAATAGAATAGAAGTGATAAGTCTATAATTGGAATCAAATTAGGAAGGCTTTGAGTGAAATCAACTGGCGAATTAGAAACAATATTGGGTTTCAATGAAATATATGGCGCAATCGTCTGGGTATCGGAACCGCCAGGGTGGAACAACGCCAGTGTGGCTGTCCAGCCCTCAGGGTTCGATCCCGCTCCCGGTGGACCGGTTCATGGCCTAGGTTCTTAAGAAGCTATTCAGCCATCGTCAGAACATTCTATCGTCTAATAATGGTTCTATAGGGATCGTCCAATAAGAGTAGTGATTGGAGAGCCGCCTGGCGTGGATTAAGTTAAGACCTAGCCAAGTATTCTGTGTATTAGCAGTATTAGTCAAGAATTGTGATTATCATGCTGAATAAACCACATCTGGAGTCCTCGATATATAACTGATATGTTTAAGTTAGCGTTATCCAGTAGTATGTCATGGAATCAATCAAGCCAAACCATGGTAAGTAATGCGAAGACAATAAGGCTGATAAAAGAACTCAATTTGGTTTGTTAGATAAGCTCATGCGGAAGAGCAATGATTGATAACTCTAGTAATAATTGATAACTCTTTTACTAGAGTTATCAATTATTGCTAGAGTTATCAATTACCACTAGAGTTATCAATTACTACTAGAGTTATATCAATTACTACTAGAGTTATATCAATTACTACTAGAGTTATATCAATTATTACTAGAGTTATCAATTACCACTAGAGTTATATCAATTATTACTAGAGTTATATCAATTAATTATATCAAATAAAAGTTATTGTAAAAAAGTGAATTGTTAGAAGTTTTGATAATAAAATGCCAGCTTTTACTGAAACTAATAAAGATTCGAAACAGGGTAAACCTCAAGTTATTCAGAGATAGATCTCTAAATGAAACTTTAGTTGAAGAGTAAGACCTTTACAACAATGTGACAAACTCTTCTAATGGACAAACTCTTCTAATGGACAAACTCTTCTAGTGGACAAACTCTTCTAATGGACAAACTCTTCTAATGACAAACCAATGCAGGCTTGTCAGTTCGATGTCATTCGACTTTTGATTTCTATTTGATCTAACAAAATTTCTTTCAATTGTTATCGAAGTTCAAGTTATGACACAAAATAATCCGCTCAACGAGACAAAAATTCACACAATCCAGGGTAAATTTGCACATTTCGACAAGCGTTTTGCAAGTTATTACCTTTAGTTTTTTTTAAAATATTATATTGATTTTATTTTTTTTACGTTTTGATATCGTGATGGCATAAAATGTCAATAAAAAGAGGGAAATTTAGAAATTTTTCATCAGATGATAAATATAAACTAAATTGTTTTCAAATTTTTCTCATAAATTTCACAATTTGACAGCATTTTTTGCAATTCGATAAGTCATTTTCACTTTTTTTTTGGTTTAAAAAACTACAGATAATATTTGAACGATATTTTTGACAAAAACATAATTTGCATGTAAATCTCTTGGACTATTGGGACTTTAAAGCTTGAGTTTTGTTTTTGAAACTTTAGAAAACTGAATTCTATTCGGAACTGAGAATTTCGATGAATGGACGGTGATTTGAAAAAAGAGCTGAAAAAGCTTGAACATGAATATGATTACGAACGAACATTGGTAAGCTTTTGAGATACTTTAAAGTAGACATGGGTTTTGGATAGCTTTTCTTTTCGTTTTGGTTTGGTTCAAACCGAAAGTTCGCAAATTTCGATTCGTTTTGTTCGTTTGGTTCGTTTCAATCCGAAAATCCGAAAATTTCGGTTCAGTCCCGAAAATTTCGGCTAATTCGGTTTTGTAGTGAATTTTTTGTAGCGAATTGTAGCGAATTGTAGTGAAATTGTAGCGAATTTTTAAAGCCCAATCGATAACACTTTACTGAAATTTTTCTTTATCTCTGAGTATCAATAAACTGGATATCTTTTCTAGATAAATTTGCATTTCAAAATAAATGAGATAAGAAATTTGCGCTTTCAGTAAAGTGCTATCGACTGGCCTTAAAAAATTCGCTGCAAAATCGAATTAGCCGAAATTTTTTAGCGAAATTAGCGACTGCCTGAAATCAAAAAAATTTTGGTTTGGTTCGATCCGAAACCGAACGAAAATCCGAACCGAAACCGAAACCGAATGGAAATCCGAACCGAAACCCATGTCTACTAAATAGCGCCAAATTCTGGGAATAATCTAAATCTAATATTTATCTAATTTATTTCTAAAAACCTAGATAAATATGTTGATTCTTAAATCTAAAAACTAGTATTTTACAAAGTTCAATTCTAGATTTATCTCCTATTTCTGTCCGTAGCTCAATAATACCATAAAAGAGAAGTCTAACCATTTTTAGTTTCAAAATTATGCCACTTTTTTTCCGGTCAGTATACAATTCATTTGCTAGATCTTTATTTTGTAGTCAAAAGTTTTTACGTCAATCCAGCCATGCTCAATCGTCAAAAACGCTTGAATTTCTAGAAAAACAGCAAATTTCGAGTAAAACCTGATGCCAAAAATTTGGGCACAGTGAAAGTTCAATAACGAGTCGCCCCCTTTCCTTAATGAATTCGAAAAGGGAGGTACCTTATGCCAGGGCGGTTAGCCTGATCGTGAGCGATTACCCGCCGCACAAAGAACACCACGCCAGTCATTTACGAGGACTTCTCTTTTGCTTTGTTGATAGTAAAAAGAGATATCCAGCTAGATTGAATAAAATCCTTTGATGGATATTTAGTTCTTTGTTCTAATATTGCTTATTATTAGTTGTTAAATCATTTACTTACGAATGAAATGGTTAAAAGGTTTCAAATGAAATCCATATCAATATTGAATGAATTTGAATGAAATGAAGGAATGAAGCCTTGTGAAATGCAGCTGAAATCATTTCGAAAGAAAGAGCGACTCGATGTTTTCAAGATTGCTAATTTCCTGTCGTTCTCTGGGTCTCCTTCCTTTCCGAATTCTCTCCTCAAGCTCTCAATAATTACTCCTTTACTCGGTAATTACAAAGCAAACTCCAACTCCAAGTTTTATTTTTTGTTAGAGGGAAATGAATGCTTTGTGAGGCTGAGAATCGTTGACGTAAAGGCTTTGATAAATGGATTGCTTAATTCTTAATTTAAGAGGACTGAAGAATGTGAGCTATTCATGTGGCATCATGCCAAATGCATTTTAGCAAATGGTTATTGGTTTCTAAAGGGTCAAATCGCATTGTATTAACGTTTTATAAAAGAAAAGTCGTTTTCTAGAATGAATTTGGCACATATCCCAATGCACATAGCTAATGTGAATTAGTAAACATATAGAACAACTTTTCTAAGCTTTAGTAAACATATTTCTATATATTGAAACATATTTCCATATTTTTCAATATATAGAACATTTTCACCAATTTAGAATCTTGGTCGTTTCGGGCGCTTACCCGACAACAAACTGTACATTCATGAAAATGGGAAAAATGGAGATTTCACAACGGTTCATTTTGATGAAAAGCCAATAGAAAAGAAGAGTAAATGGAATTTTGGGATCTTCACAAAAGTATGCGAGGAGCTTGGTGAGTTTTGGGTAAAATCAAGGTTTCAGGCTAACATTAGGAATCTCTTAATCATTCATTTATGATCTAGACTATAGAATTTGATTAGAATTTCCTTTGACTCTCAATAATTACTCTAGAGTACCCTTTAAATATTAATTCTCACTATTTTTATATCTTAAAGCATCTTAGCATTTTTATTCCTTTATCAAAAGTTTCAAAAACCGTGACGTGCTCACCAGGTGGTTTCTACGATCATTCGAAAAGCATTTCCCAAAAAAACTCTAATCCTTTCGAAAAACGAAAGCATTCAAAATTTGCATATTGATTTTCAAAAAAAAAAGGTTTGTGAAAAGTCTGAAGTAGGTCAAATTCAACGAGAAGCTAATGTCCCTATCCGATTTTCGGTATTCTGTTCTGCAAACAGAAATTCCGCAAAGTGAACTATTAAAAAATGATTCATCTAAAGTTTTAAAAGCTGAAAATCAAAAATTTTCAACAATGGATTCGGAAAGTATTCGAAGTTTTCGAAATGAATATCGATCTTTTTTCTATGAACCTAGATTAATCTCAATGTTCAACTCAAGATTTTCAGGTTAAGTGAAGATGAGTGGAATTTTAGAGCTATCATTTGCATCTGTTGGGTTGGTGAGTTGAAAACTGCGGAACTTTGAACTAAAATTTATTCAACATAAAACCATCAATTCATTCCAAATAGTTTCCATTATTATTGACGACTTCTGCTCATTTTACAGGCATTTTGCGGATTCCCCTTTCGTAGTAGGATTTTGGCTTTGAATCGAAAAACTTTTCGAGCCAATTTTTGACTGCTTCTTCCGAATCAAAGTGTTCTCCCGCAAGCTCATTACTCATGATCCGGAATAAATAGTAATCAAAAGGGGCGAGGTCCGGACTGTATGGGGGAATGCGCCAAAAGTTCCCAAACAAGGCTATTTATTTTAGAGCGAGTCAGTTTTGCAACATTAGGGCGCGCGTTGTCGTGGATGAGAACGATCTTTGACTTGGAGGACCTATTCTTCTTCAGGGATTCATTCACCTTTTCCAACCGTTCGCTGGATTGGGTTGGTGAATTGAAAACAGCGGGACTTTCAGCCAAAATTTATTCAACATAAAACCATGAATTCATTCCAAATAATTTCCATTATTATTGACGACTTCTACCCATTTTAAAGGCAATTTGTGGATTCCCCTTTCGTAGTAGGATTTTGGTTTTGAATCGAAAAACTTTTAAAGCCAATTTTTAACTGCTTCTTCTGAATCGAAGTGTTCTCCCGCAAGCTCATTACTCATGCTCCGAAATCAATAGTAATCAAAAGGGGCGAGGTCCGGGCTGTATGGGGAATGCGCCAAGAGTTCCCAAACAAGGCTGTTTATTTTAGAGCGAGTTATTATTAGAGTCAGTTTTGCAACGTGAGGGCGAGCGTTGTCGTGGAGGAGAACGATCTTTTGACTTGGATTTTGGTTTGTGTGTGAGACAAGTGTGAGACTCAAAAATGGAGGACTGGAGATGTCCCAGTTTGAGCACCTTCTTCAAAAGAAACCCATTTTGGTGTCAATGTCCCTTTCTACAGCAAAACCTTTTGTTTGTCAGTGGATTGTTCAGAATTCTTATTTCCTTTTGATTTCTTTAAAATTCTTCAATTTCTAGTGCCTTCCTGCTAGATTTTGAACAAATTCATTTCTGAATTGCTATTGTCTTGGATATTTTGACTGAAAACCAATCATTCTCAAAAAAACAATCCATTGAACTCGCAGTGTTGTTTAATGAAAAAGCCAGCTTTTTATTGGCTTAAGTTTCTATTTCTTGAAACATCTTTGAGAGAAGCTTATTGTGAAGTTAAGAAATAAAGAAGTTACCATCTTGTTCACATTGTAGTTTAAATGCTAAAAGTCTACAAAATCTATCAAAAATTTTCCCAATATTATCTCTTCATTAGCCTATTCCCCTCACTCATCCCACTCACACTACAAATATTGGGTTGGTGAATTGAAACCTGTGGGGACTTTGAACTAAAATTTATTCAACATAAAACCATCAATTCATTCCAAACAATTTCCATTATTATTGACGACTTCTGCCCATTTTACAGGCAATTTGCGGATTCCTCTTTCGTAGTAGGATTTTGGTTTGTGTGAGACAAGTGTGAGACTCAAAAATGAAAGACTGGAGATGTCCTGGAGATGATCAATTTGAGCACTTTCTTCAAAAGAAACCCATTTTAATGTCAATAGAAAAGTTGTAGAGAATCAAAAATTAGGCTTATAGCCAAATTTCCAAAAAGATACACTTAGTAGTTTCGCTTAAAATGCAAGTTTTGTGAAAATTCGTAAATTTGGTATTTCTTGCAAACCAGTTTTTGAATCGTTCTGAAAATTTGGATATAAGCTTAATTTTTGATTCTCTACGACTTTTCCAATGACACCAAAATGGGTTTCTTTTGAAGAAAGCGCTCAAACTGTCACAAATGACAATAGCCCGCAGTTTTCAATGCACCAATCCAATAGATTGATGAGCTTTTACGAATTGTTTTATCGCTAGAACCAGTGGCTATCGTAGTCTTGTCATAGTTAACATAGGAACTTGTTTACACTATTAAGACTTATAAGCACAAGCTTATAATCCAGATCTGGATGAGACACTTGTCCTTCCTTTCCTAAGCTTAATTTTGATTCTCTACAACTTTTTCATTGGCACCAAAATGGGTTTCTTTTGAAGAAAGTGCTCAAACTGTCACAAATGACAATAGCCCACAGTTTTCAATTCACCAACCCAATATTTTTCTATTTTATTGTTTAGGCAATCGAGCCGACACAGTTCGAATGGTGTTCGCCGATTGGGTTTTCCTGGCTGTTCTCGGAGTGCTCACAGCTTGTCTCTCCTCTACAATTGATACAATTGTTGTTTGGTTTCAACAAAGTACTTAGAAACTAAAAATCATTACTTCAAAGTTTTCAGTCCAAGAATGGAGTATCAACATGAGTTCTGAGGAGAATTTCACTGGTTTTGTCTCGATGTACACAGCTTGGGTGCTTTTCTTTACTTTGATGATTGTCACCTCGGCAACTCTTGTTCATTACATTGCACCTCAAGCGATTGGTGAAAAGAATTTAAATTTTCGCTAAGTAATCAACTTTAGGATCCGGTCTTCCAGAAATGAAAACAATAATTCGTGGAGTGATTTTGAAAGATTATCTAACCTTTCGAACTTTATTATCAAAAGTCGTTGGGTTGATTTTTTCATTGGGAAGTGGAGCGCCGATTGGAAAAATGGTACCCTAAAGTCGCGAGTATAAGTTCTGTTTGGTTTTCGCATGCAAATTGACGGCTGTCTCCGGTGCGGTGTGTCGAGGGTTCGAACCCCGCTGCAGCATAACTTTTTTGCTTTTTAAGAACAATAATAGAAGTAAATTTATTGAGGGTTATAGCAATTTTATGCTGTTATTTGTTGCTCCGGGCGTGGCTCGGCGCGTCCGCCCTGCTCCTCTCCGGTGCTCAGTCTTATGGATCCCTCCCTGGCCTCTTCATCCGGCCAAAGTCCACGTCGACGGTCGAAAGAGATGCTTTCCAGCGCCTTCTTCAACACTATCGTCTGGATGTATCCATGCACATAACAAATAGCAATGGTGATAAGCTGTCACCCTGTAGTATCCCGCGCTCCAAGAACAATAATAAAAGTTTATATAACAATAAAAATGTATAAAAACCCAACAAAAAGAAATTCAAAGCAATTAAAGCGAATGTAAATTAAGGCAGAACTTATACTCGGATCAACTTATACTCGAGACTTTAGGGTAAATTAAGTTTTGAAGCAAAAAAAATCTTTATAATATTTATTTCAGGGTCCTTTTGTGCACATATCTTCTATTTTGGCCAATCAATTGTGTTTATTTGCTGCACGGTTTGATAGAGCATTTGGATCAGAGTCTAGACGAATCGAGACACTGACAGCTGCTTGTGCCATTGGGGTCGCTTGTACTTTCAGTGCTCCAGTTGGAGGTGAAACTGCATTTACGTGCCAGAATAGAAAACGTTCAAAATAACGCCGTCAAATTTCTCACAATCCAAAAAAACAAACTTGAGTTAACAATAACTTTGTAGCATTGAGAAATTCCATAGCTTTATCTTGCAAGTTGCTTACTTATGATTAAATTACAATACGTAGCTAGATTCAAACTCTAGACTCTAGATTCAAACAAGATTTATTCCAAAAAGTTCCTTGTTACATGATTAGTGAAACAGTTTTTAAAAAAGTTAATATTTCATAGATAAAAGAGCGCACAAAGTTTCTAATATTCATCGATCTCTAAAGATATTCATTTAATCATTTACTCGATGCTTTCAACGCTAGTTTTACTGGGTTTCTAAAGATATTCAGTTAACCAACTGAGTATCATTTGATACACATTTTGACGCTAATTTTATCTATGAAATATTAACTTTCTTAAACTATTTCACCCAGACCTGCTTACAGAGTTAGGGCAAAATTTTCCGACAGTCTGCCTCGCGCTTCGATTTTTTACTACCAAAAGCTTCTTCAAGCGTGAAACCCAGTTCCCCCTCAAGCCCTTATTCTAGACTTCATTTTGATACTAAACATGACTAGGTTCTATTTTGTCATTCTTTAGATTTCGATCAATCTTTCACCTGACTCGAGAAGCTTAACGATTCCAGAAAAATTTTTACCTAAAATGATCGAAATCAAGAATGGCAAAACAGAACCTACCGTAAATACTGTAATAGTACCCCACCGCCCTCGTACAGTCGCGTAGTTGCAAAAGTTTTTTAGTATTTCATTTTTTTCAAAGCGTCCGTACTTTCAAAAAATGCATCTTTAATATCAAAAAATAGCCCTGAATTTCAGCTATTTTTTGATACCTAAGCGCGCATTGTAGCATAAACCAGTGTCGAGAAAAACTAGTTCAAAGCTAGACTACGCAACACTCCACACCGTCATTATGGGAGTGGGGCACTATTACAGTATTTACGGTAGTCATGTTTAGTATCAAAATGAAGCCTAAAATCAGGGTTTGCGGGGGAACTGGGTTTTATACTCGAAGGAGCTTTGGGTAATAGAAAAATCGAAGAGCAGCAGACTGTCTGAAAATTTTGGCGGAACTCGTTAAACAGATCTATTTTCATCCAGTATATACCCAAGAACGCAAGGAATTTTTTGATATAAAACTTGAATTTGCTTAGTTTTTTGGATTGTGAGAAATTTGACGGCGTTTTTTTAAACGTTTTCTATTATTATGCTTTAACATCTGTTTAAATATAATATCTTTTAGGATTTTTAGGATTTTTAGGATTTTAGAATTAAATCTAGTATCTTTTAGGAGTACTTTTCTCAATCGAGGTCACCACAATGTATTTCTCTGTGAGAAATTATTGGAGAGGCTTCTTTGGGGCTTGTTGTGCAGCGACCACGATACGATTATTGAAAGGAGTTTTTGCGGAAACAGAAGGTAAATAAAACAAAATCTATTCAGCTATCAGTAAAAAGAAAAATTTCAGTGACAACAAGTGCCTTCTTTCAAACTTATTTCCCAAAGGATCCATACTCTGTCGACGAACTACCGCTTTTTGCTTTTTTGGGGTAAAAGGTTTTTGTATAAAAACTAAAATCTAGTTTCCTAATCAAAATTTGATCAATTAAAAGCTAATTTCTACAATCTGACCAATCTAATCAATCTAATATGTAATAAAAGACTTTCAGAATCATTTGTGGCCTTCTTGCCACATTTTACATTAACATTTACAAACATTTGGTACTCTTTTTGTTTTTGATTCGTCATCTTCTACCGAAGATTATCTAATATTTAATGATAGCAATAGTTGTGAAAATAATTAAAATGAATAAGCAATAATAATACAATATAGTACAATTTAAACCAAACCATCACACTTTCAAATAAAAAAAACTTTCGTCCTCGGAAGCAATCCGCAGTTTCTTTTGCAAGTACCTAATAAGCTCATTAGAAAACAGTATAATACAGTGCGCGTCAAAATGATAGGTCCGACTAACCCGCGCCGACGTTGCTCAACTTGGCAGATCGGACGGGGTCGACCACAGACCCTTCCCTTTCTGGCCCCTCCACCCGATTTCTCAAAAACTATCAAGTCCACCCGATTTATAATAATAATAATAATGATTTGATCTGTCTTCGCACTTAGCGCAGATCACAACCCCCTTCCACATTTACTGAGGCAGAAGTGTAGTTGTCGTAGCCGATGATACTCCGATGGCCGGGCTGGGGCGCTCGGAGGGGAGCCCATGGGAGTCGAACCCACGACTAACCCGCGCCGACGTTGCTCAACTTGGCAGATCGGACGGGGTCGACCACAGACCCTTCCCTTTCTGGGCCCCTCCACCCGATTTCTCAAAAACTATCAAGCAAAATCAAAATCCATATTTGTAGATGAATTTTAATTTGATTCTTGATAAATATTCAATAGTTTAAAAAGGTTTTTTATCGGTAAAATTTTTGAATATTTTGGAAAAACTCAAAAATTGAGGTAAAAACCGCGTCAAAATGATAGGTCCGGTCCACTCATTAAAAACTTTATAACAAGAACAAAAAAATTGTAAAAACTGAATGAAAATAGGTTTTATCATTACTTTATCACTATGGTCAATACTTTGTAGGTCCTCCTTTAAGTGTGACCACGTCCAGAATACGATTATCCATCGAGTCGCACTGTAGCTTTTGAAGAACAGCTTACCGTAAATACTGTAATTGAACCCCATCCCCATAATGACGGTGCGGAGTGTTGCGTAGTCTAGCTTTGAGTCTAGTCTTTTTGGGGTAAAATGTTTTGTATAACAACTGAAATCTAGTCTCCTAATCAAAATTTGATCAGTTAAAAGCTAATTTCTACAATCTAATCGATCTAATATTTAATAAAAGACTTTCAGAATCATTTGTGGCTTTCTTGCCGCATCTTACATTAGCATTTACAAACATTTGGTACTCTTCCTCCGAACAAGTCAATTCGCTAAGAATCTCTTTCAAAAAAGGTACATTTTTCCTTTAAAAAAAATCCTTTGTTCAACTTAAAAAAAGCTTTTAGATGGATGGTTTATCCAGTGTTGGTCTCTGTTCTCCTTGGTGGACTCACTTTTCCTCATGGATTAGGACAATTTTTCGTTGGACGGGTAGAAAAATGCAAAGAGAGATTAGAAGAATCCGATTTTAGCTTCGTTTTGCCAGAAATCTTCGCGATTTTTATTTGAATTGCACTTTCGCAGTCGAACCAGGAAGTGCTCTTGCTTGCAATGACGAGCACAATTGTCCATTCATTGACTCTGAATTGCCTGTTAATATTATGCTTTTGCTATTTATTGTCGCTTTGGTAAGTGTTGGATTTTGAAGAAGGAAATTCTTTGTTAAGTTTGTTCTATCAATCGTATCTATCACTTTGCCGATTCCTGGCGGTGTTTTCATGCCAACAATTGTATTGGGAGCAGCGATTGGTTTGTTTAAAGGGAATTGGGATTAGAACGAATTGTTCTCCTATTATCATTGAAAAGGAAAGCATTTTATACCAGAGTAGTATGCCAGCTCGCGAGCAATTACCCGACCGCACAGAGAACATCTCGCTAGTCATTTACATAGGGTATAAAAAGATATTCAGCTGTAAATTCTCACCTGGGGGTTTTCGAGGTCGAGAAATCGATTGGTGCTATTCATTTTGTTAAGTCTACCAAGTGGAACTCTGATTTAATTGGTTTAAACTTTCAAAGCACTGTCAACTCTTCCAAGAAAACTGGGAAGAGTTGTTAGTTTAGTTTTCATAAAAAATTTAACTTTAATACTGTGCTATAATTAAATTATACATTTATTCTAAGCAAAACTTATTCTATAAAGTTTCTTAGAGTCAAAAAAACCTTTAGCAAACCAAAGTTTTAGGCCGACTCATGGGAGAAATCACTTCTGAATGGGCACCAAATGGAATCGACGCTAGCCATTTCATTTTTCCTGGAGTTTATGCTGTAGCAGGTTTCGAAAATCTATAAAATTAAAGAACCCAATAAGTAAAGGCTCAGCCGCTTTCTCTGGAGCTGTCACTCATTCAGTGTCCGTGTCAGTAGTCGTTTTTGAAGCCACAGGACAACTACATTGTTTGCTGCCGGTTATGGTTGGGAAATGTTACAGAAAGTTTTGCAAAAGTTTTTAGATAGCGGTGATTATTGCAAACGCTATCAGCACTTATTTTCAACCCTCATTTTTCGACACGATTATCAAAATCAAGCATTTACCGTTTTTGCCTGATATCCCGCCATCAAGTAATATGTGAGTGGAAAGATTGACTAAAGCTACTTTTTAACCAAGCAAGTCCTTCAGAAAACTGCAATCTTGCGTCCAAACATTGTTTAGATATACAGCCAAACTTAAGGGAAATATTGATCCCAAAAATTTGGGCATAGTGACGCCGAAACCACCTCCGTCCCTTACCAATCATTTCTATATAAAACTTCATCAAAGAATTTAGAAATAGACAGATTGGCCAATTTCTAATCAAAAATTTAGCGTTCACACGGTAACAGCAGAGAAAATGATGACCTCGCCAGTTCGTTTCCTTTGTCGAGTCACAAAGTATGAAGATATTCGAAAAATGCTTACGGAAGGGCCACAGTTAAGAATGTTTCCAGTAGTTGATGGAGCGAGTAAGTAAAAATGGATCTATTGAGTTATTAAATTCCTTCAGATACTCAAATGTTGCTTGGAACTGTAAACCGAAGAACATTATTGGAGATTTTAGAAGAACATGTTGGAGATGGAGCTAGAAAGGTATTGAAATAAATAAAAGAATCAAGTAGTTTGTTTGGTAATCAAATAATAATCAAGTAATGAGGTAGTGTTTAGTGTGAAGCAGAGACACGTGTTCGAAGAGCGATTGAAACAATCGACAAACATTTCAAGAATACTCAAGAGGTTGAAAGAGCAAAGATCTTTATCCTAAATAAATTTAGATTACGACAAGTGATCCAGAAATAACAGTGACTCCAGAGGAAGTGATTCAAAGAAGAACGTTCAGTGAAGGAATGAAAACATTGCCATTGTTTAGAGCAAGTAGATCGATTTCACCGTAAGTTTTGCTACAAATATTAACGAAGGAAAATTTAGCCAACAACGAGTCCAATTTGGCAGTTCAATAAGCGGAAAACCGGATATTACTAGAAAATGCCGGTTAGATTCGAATCGATTCAAGACTTTTGACCTTTTGATTGTCTAGATTTGTGGTCACTGCCATATCTCCAGAACCATCAACTTCTCATGCATCATCAGCTGAACTCACCTTTTCTGGCTCTGAAACGAGCAGTGAAAAGAATCCACACTCAAAAAATAGTTTGAGAAAAATTTCTTCAACCAATAGAAGAAACGCCTTTTGCAGTATGGAACAAAAGGAACACGAAGAGACTGTAACGAGTGGTAAGTTGATAAGTGGAAGTTTTTCCAGAAACCAAATGACCCTCACAGCCGACTGGCTAAGACCCTTGTATCTTAGTGGAGAGGTCAAGGGTTCAATCCCGACCATGAATTATTGAATTTTTTTTTCATAAATTTAGGGCCTAGAGGTTAAGCTTGTGTTTTGTTTATACTAATTTTGAATAAATATATTTAAAAAAGCTCAAGCTAACCGATAAGCCCTAAATTTATGAAAAAAATGCACGAATCTAGCCGGGTTTGAACCCTTGACCTCCCGACTAAGATACAACGGTCTTAGCCAGTCGGCTATGAATAAATATATTTCAAAAAAGCTCAAGCAAAGCTCGCTTGGCTAACCGATAAGCTTAAACACTGATTACCATTTGTTTTTTAGTCAGTAGACTTCCGAAGAGTGAGTCCTTTGATTCAGCCGATCAACATCTTACAATTCATTCACTTCATTCCTTTCATGTTGATTATCAAAAGATGATGAAAGGTAGAGTTAACTACCGTATTTCTTCGAATAGAAGACCGGGTAAAGAGTATCATCGCGTACTCCTGCGTAGCAGCCCTTTTTAAAATTTCTTTTCTGCATAAAAGCTTTCAATGAAGTGCTATAGGGCTGGAAAATGACTCAAAAATACCACATGAGCTAGCAGATTTTTAAGCCATTTTCCAGCTCTATAGCACTTGATTGAAAGCTTTTATGCAGAAAAGAAATTTTAAAAAGGGCTGCTACGCAGGAGTACGCGATGATACTCTTTACCCGGTCTTCTATTCGAAGAAATACGGTATAAGCTTTTAAAGAAAAATTGAATTTAAGGATATTTGCGGCAAGCAAAGAAAGCAATCACTCATCTGAGGAAACAATCTCGAAAGGAAAGCTCTCAATTAGCTATTTATGGATTGACTGGTATAGAGGTAGCTTTTAGTCTTTCATTTTTCCCCAACTTTGAAGCATTACAACTCAAGAACTATACATTTAAGTATCTAAGTATTATAGTGATTCTGAAAGCTTGAAACGAGATCTATAAGATGGGATATTTGTTTTTCTAATTCGCTTTAATTTTTGATCGATTTTAGGGATGATCGTAAAATAGGGTGTCAAAAAAATTTTGCTTCAAAGTTGGGGAAAAATCCGGAACTTCAGAACTTCAGATATTTTTTTATTGTACATAAATGGCTTCACCAGAGCTATTATCTATATAATTCTTCTAGAGAGAAGAATGGGAACACCAACGAATGAGCGAAACTTTTGTTTTCCCTGAAGAGTTCATTGATCCAGCTCCATTTCAACTTGTTCGCAGGACAACTCTTTTTAAGATTCACTCAATCTTTTCAATGTTACAATTAACAAAGGTACAAAAAAGAAAACGAAAATCTCCTTAAAAAATAGCAAACTTTATTAGGCTTATGTAACAGAGTGTGGTCGTTTGATTGGAGTGGTGGCTCTTTGTGATGTAAGGCAGAGATAACGCTTGCTTGCTTGAATCACTTAACTCTGTTGAAGATTGATAAGATATTAAAGTTTATGTTTAGGTTAGAAGAGCTCTTGAGAAGTCGAGTGATTTGGCTAAAGATCTGTCAAACGATCTCCGACCACCACATCACAAAGATTCAGACTTTAGAGAAGCACTTAAAGATGTGTTAACACCAGCGATTGAGGTCAGTTTGAAGATTAAACTCTGAAATCTTTCTAAAACTCTGAAACTTGGTTGATTTGCTTTAAAGATTAATGTACTTTAAAATTGAATATATATGTCGTAGCCGATTATGAATCTCAGCCGATTATGAATGAGTGGGTCTAGGAGCGTCCAACCATCAAGTATTTGATATCATTCAACGCAGAATCATTAATAATTATGTTAAATTTTTAAAATTAGAAAGATTGGATAAAAAGAAAAAAAATTATGGGGCCTTAAAGTTTCCTCTTGAACAAACAGTTTTTTTGCTCTAATTTTTTTTCTTTTTATCAAATCTTTCTAATTTTAAAAATTTAACATAATTATTAATGATTCTGCGTTGAATGATACCAAATACTTGATGGTTGGACGCTCCTAGACCCACCCATTCATAATCGGCTACGGGGGTCTCGTCGATTTTGAATGAAACGTTGTAGCGCCGGTAATTTTTAACCTAAACTCACAAATTTGGTACCAATCGACGCAGAATTTAATTCGCTACAGGATGATATAATATTGTCCTCATACATATATTGCTCTACTAGAAAGATTTACCAAAAAATTTCATTCATAATCGGCTACGACATATAGACTTGATAAGAGATCAAACAGAATCTATTCGAACAACAAAATCAACACAGAATCTGTTAGAAATAGTTAATTTTTACAGGTGATCAAGCCAAATATGGGACGCCGAGGCAGTAAACAGATTCATTTCGCTGAAGATGATTTGGAGAATGTTTTCTCGAAGAGACCAACAAGTTTACGAATTCGAACAGAATCTACGGGAGTTGAGGACTTTCCGATAGCTTCGGAAACAAGAAGGTTCATTATTTTTTCGTATTTACGATTGAGTCAAATTTCTGAGATTCCTGAAAAGTCTGGAAATGAAAAAATTACTGGAGCTCAACTTAGTTCTCTTTCTCCCTTCTCTTTCTCCCTTCTCTTTCTTCCTTCTCCTCCCTTCCTTCTCCTCCCTTCCTTCTCCTCCCTTCCTTCTCCTCCCTTCCTTCTCCTCCCTTCCTTCTCCTTCCTTCCTTCTCTTCCTTCCTTCTCTTCCTTCCTTCTCTTCCTTCCTTCTCTTCGTTCCTTCTCTTCGTTCCTTCTCTTCCCCCTTCCTTCCTTCTCTTCCACCTTGTATTTTCTTCTTTTCTCTGGCAAGTAGCTCAATGCTCAATGGTTAGAGCATTTGCCAAATTACCAAACATCTCAATGGTTAAAGCATTTGCCTGGAAAGCAAAAAGGTCAAGGGTTCAATCCTTCCTCCGGTAATCTTTCTTTGCCATTCCGTCTTACGATAATCAATAAGGATTTAGAATGAATCACCTTAAGCAATTTAAGACTTAAAAATACAATAAAAAAGATTTGACTACATTTTAACACTGTTTTAAAACTTCAACTTTCAATTGTTCAGAAAATCTTTGGGTCAATCCGAGAATCTCGTCGATGCAGTTGTGTATCTTCGCCGTAAATCAATGCACGTTTCAAGGAGACGACAATCAAAAGTTGGCCCTGAAAGTGTAAATGAACAAAAGCCTAAAGAATGATCTTTTTTTTTGTTTTTACAACGGGTACAAATTTTTGATTGCATTGAGATGGTGAAAATTGTTCATTTTTGTCCTTTTTTTAGTCAAATGTTCTATTCAAGCATCAAAGAAATTAAAAAATAATAAAAATTGATTGCTTTCTTTTGACGGTCTCTTTGAGATCGTTTTACCTTTTGTTATTATTTGTTTCAAATAAATATTTTAAGTTTAAATATTGAAACTATGTGCAAACTTGAGTTTCCGAAATATCAGAGCTACCAAAAGCCCTAGTGATCGTTTGATGACATTCTGGTGGGGTGTTGCCTTTTTTGAAGTCGTATAACATGCACACTCAAACCCTATACTTGCTGTCGTCCATTCTAAAAAAAAGAAAATTAACTAAGAATAAAATCCAATATAAAAAAGAAAGTAGAAAACGAATAAAACATGTAAATAAGTTAAGTATGTTAGCGAAAGTCTTAAGAAAGGAAAAAACCTCAAAAAGTTGTATCGCGGTTTGGTTGCCAACCTAATACATGTATTTTCTGTAATAGTAGTGCGCACTACTATTCCAGATCGCACTACTATTCCAGATCGCACTACTATTCCAGATCGCACTACTATTCCAGATCGCACTACTATTCCAGATCGCACTACTATTCCAGATCGCACTACTATTCCAGATCGCACTACTATTCCAGATCGCACTACTATTCCAGATCGCACTACTATTCCAGATCGCACTACTATTAAAGACTGTACTACTACAGTGCGTTTCAAATTCTTAAACGCACCCTCTAAAATAGCGGATTTTGCATTTTGACCACCGCTACAACTATTAATTTTTTTCTATCAGAAAGAGCATGTCTTAAAACCTAAAAAACACGATAAATAAGCATACTGTAAAAAATAAAAATTTTCAAAATAGAAACTTTTTGGTAAATCAACCGTTTCAAATTCTTAAACGCACTATGAAAATATGTTGATTTCTCGACACAAATTAAAAATCAAAGGTAAAAAATCAAAACTAATAATCTGTACAGGCACCAGAACGATTAATTACTTGAAAAATCCGGTCTGGCATTGAATTGATGAGGTTTTGAAGAGCAGAGACGTCGAGATTGCGCCAGGCCGAAAAAATTGCTGCTTTAAGTGTAGAAACGTCTTGAAACTGACGATGGTTCTTGTAGACAGCTCGGACAAGTATTTCCCATAAATTTTCTATCGGATTGAGGTCAGGAGACTGAGCGGGCCAGTCCAAAGTTGCAATGTTGTTGCTGTTCAGCCAGTCTCGGGTGTCTCCGGCTCGATGAATTGACGCGTTGTCGTATTGAAACAAATCCGGAACGATTGGATTTAGGAGCAAAAACGGCAACAAGCAATTGTCCAAGATATCTATCTAGTCATCCGATTCGAAACTATCTTCAGAGCGACCGTTCCATCAGCACAAAAGGCGGCCCAAACCATCACAGAACCGCCGTCAAAGTTTTGAGTTCCAAACACCATCGGATCACGTCGAAGATCCCTCCAATAGTAGTCAACGCCATTGGGACCATCCCAATTCCATTTCTTCTCATCGGAAAAGATCACCTAAACGCAAAAAAAATAATAAAACATAAGCGGCTTTCTAACCATAGACCAATCCTGATTCATATGAGCCTTGGCGAACTCCAATCGGGCTTTCTTGTGCAAAAGCTTCACGGCCGGTTGCATGTTCAATAATTGTCGATCGATATGTGAATTTTCCGTGACGGCTCGCCAAATTGTCGACTTCGAAGCGTCGATTTTCAGTTCCGTTTTCACTTCATTGATCGTTTTTCCGTGGATTTTGTTCACAATATGCGTCTAGCTCGCGGCGTAAGCTTTGGTTTTGGTCCTGGCTTCTTCTTTGGTGCAGAAACGAACTCGGACTTTCTATAATTTCGCACGGCAGAGTCGGATCGGCCCAAATTTTTCGCGATTTTCCTTATTGAGTCGCCAATCCTCAAATGGGCATCAATCTGGCCTTTATCATAATCCGTAAGCAGCTTTCCGTGTGCCATTTACCTGGAAATTAACAAAAATTATAAATTTAATAAAAAAATATGCACAACAAAACAAAAAATTTCAAATAACAACAGCAAAGGCGGGTGCGTTTAAGAATTTGAAACGGTTGATTTACCAAAAAAGTTTCTATTTTGAAAATTTTTATTTTTTACAGTGTGCTTATTTTTCGTGTTATTTAGGTTTTAAGACATGCTCTTTCTAATAGAAAAAGACTAATAGTTGTAGCGGTGGTTTAAATGCAAAATTCGCTATTTTAGAGGGTGCGTTTAAGAATTTGAAACGCACTGTATTATAGACTGCACTACTATTCCAGAAAATACAATATTTGATTTTATCTTATTTTCTTATAACGTTATTTTATCTTAGGAATTCATGTAAATGGATTTGAAGATAGTGCTTAAATTCAGATTTATCATTCATTCATTTAAATTTGAATAGAATTAATCTCTTCTTCAGTCTTTACAATTTCACTTTTCTTTTGTTCAATAAGTTTATTGTGTGCCATTTTGTCAAGTAAACATGTGTCCGCTGTCACTTTTTCATGCTTAAATGTTTAACTTAAATGTATAAATTTTATAACGTATTGTTATAAAAGGCATTTTGAATGGTTGAATACTCCCAAATAATAGTTTTGAGGATATGCGCCACCTCTCGGGACTCAGAGATCCAGTGGAAGTGATTGAGAGAAAAAGACTCAGATGAGCCGGCCATGTAGCCAGAAGAACAGACGACAGATGGACGATACGGATCACAGAGTGGCTACCACGAGACCAGAAGAGGCCCATCGGAAGACCAGCAACGAGGTGGAGCACAAGAGTGGCAGAGACGGTCAGAGAAAGGATGGCTAGAGTGCAACCACCACCAGCACCAGCAAGTCGAAGACTTTGAACCAGGAACAATCAAGCTAGGAAACACTGGATGACAATAGCAAGGGATAGAGAAATGTGGAAGCAGGTTGTGATCTGCGCAAATAGGAACACCATAGGAGAGCGAAAACAGATCAAAAAAAAATGGTAAAAAAATTGAACCAATTGTTCATGGATTCTAATGTAGCTGATTTTTACCTACTCAAGAAAATCAAAAACATTAATTTGTAATTTTACCTTCCTCAACTAAAGGTCGTTGTTCATCGTCAACACTGATGAACATTTTAGTTCATCGATCAAGCCCGAAGTTTGAAAAAATGGAAAAATTAAGACAAACCAACGTTCGTTAAATAAATTTGCATATAGAAGGAAAGCAAAAAATTCTACTACAGTTAAATGTATTAGGTTGGTGGGAAAGTAATCGAAATTTGGAGCCTCTAACTTCAAGTCCAAAAATAAAAGTCAATAACAAATGAATTGATCCAAAGTAAAAACCATTAGCATCTATACAACGCTGCCAACGCGAAACAAGTTTTCCAATTCCATCAGAATAGAAATTTGGCGTTCTCGAGTCGATAAACTGCTGGAAAGCGTTTTCGGCCTCACCTTGATTCTTGAACTGTTTATCTTCTAGAAAATGGCACAGATGCTTCAAAAAGTGGAAATCCGTAGGAGAAAGATCTGGTGAGTAAGGTGGGTGACTAAGAATTTCGTAGCCCAGCTCGCTCAATTTTTTGATGGTTTTAGTTGAAATGTGCGGGCGAGCAAGACCGTGAAGCAAGACCGGACCTTTCCGGTTCACCAAACCTGGATCCAAAATTGTTAATTTTGTATGCATTTTTTCTATTTCCAAAATATATTGATCCGAATTCATAGAATTTCCTGTTTTCAAGAAAGAAAAATGTATTATTCCTTTCATGGATCACCAAACAGTAATCATCACCTTTTTTTGATGAATCTCTGGCTTTGCAGTGCGTTTGGGCTTTTCATCTTTGCTGAGCCATTCGGATCTTCCTTTTCTGTTGTCGTATAGGATCCATTTTTTGTCACACGTGACAATCCGATTCAGAAATGAATCTTTTTTATTTCGGATTAGAAACGTCGAGGCGGCTGTCAAACGCCGCAACCTCTGCGAGTCGCTTAATTCGTGCGGGATCCATTGCTCCATCTCCTTTACCTTTCCAATTGATTTCAAATGAGCCAAAATTGTTGAATGATCAACCTGAATGTCCTGTGCGTATTCTCGAGATGTTTTGGTCGAATCTCCTTCCACCAGTTTTTCCAATTCTGCATCGTCAACTCTGGGAGGCCTGCCTTGGCGTTCTTTGTCATGAAACGTCTCATCGCCCGAGTGAAATCGCCGAAACCAAAAAGCGACCATACCATAAGAAACACTTCTCTCGCCAAATGCCCTGTTGATATTACCAGTCGCTTCTGTTGCTGGATGGCCAAGCTTGAACTCGTAGAAAAAAAGTGTCCGAAATTGTTCCTTATCCATGCTCTTAAAACACTCAATTTTTATTCAAAATAAAGACTGATTGTAAAGTAAAAAAAAAACATAAAAGAGAAGAATATATATCAATCACAATTAGCTAAAAGTTTAGTATCAATGACGCAAAAGGACTTTTAAAATCAAAGACAAAGTTTGAGTCTTGTTTATTTCGATTATTTTCCCACCAACCTAATAGCAAAAAAGCTTCCAAGCTAAAGAACATTTGAGGTGAGTCAAATGCTTCAAAAAAAAATTTTCAAAAAAAGGTGATACGGCTTCGGTCGCCCTCAAAAAAAGACACAACCAAATGTGATAACAACATTTTTTTTGTGCATAAGTGGATTGGATGACAATAGCAAGGGATAGAGAAATGTGGAAGCAGGTTGTGATCTGCGCAAATAGGAACACCATAGGAGAGCGAAAACAGATCAAAAAAAAAATGGTAAAAAATTGAACCAATTGTTCATGGATTCTAATGTAGCTGATTTTTACCTACTCAAGAAAATCAAAAACATTAATTTGTAATTTTACCTTCCTCAACTAAAGGTCGTTGTTCATCGTCAACACTGATGAACATAATAGGAACACCTGAGTGCAAAATAGGAACACCTGAG